TATTTAACACAGAGCCAGAAATAGTGGTCCTACCCCTATCACAATTAGAACTGTCCACATTGATGCAGAATAGCTCACTCTTTCAAACTTTAACTAATAAATTTCCCAGGACAGGTTGACAATCACCTGCCAGCGGACAGGCTACTCTAGACACTACAAATCTTAGAAATAGACTATCCAAAACATGCTTTCCCTGTTAATCAACCTATACCCATGGCACCATGTGTGTTTATGGACGCCAACAAGTCACTGTTTGGAATAGTGATCAAATCTTTAACAGAAAAAGATAAGATCCATGCAGAACCCCATGGGGGATCAGTACAGGTGGGAGAAATAAAGGCGACAGTCAAGGTTCTACTCCTTAGCCAGGATGGGCCAGCAAATATATTTTTGGACAGCAAATACTCAGTACAGGTAGCAAAGACGATCCCTTTTGCAGTCTTTAACCTGACCAATAATCTAATTGATCAAATGTTCACAACACTTAAGGAGCTAACTGAGTACAGAAAACACCCATGGTATATCTCACACGTAAGATCACATACTGGGTTACCTGGCTTTATTTTCCAAGACAACAAAAAGGTCGACCGTCTTATCTCCTGCAACACGGCTTCCATTGGACACCTAGAACAAGCCCATATTCTACACCAAAATTTTCATACGTCAGCAAGCAACATACAATTGCTTTCCCCAGAGCTAACAACGAGCCAATGCAAACACCTAGTTCACTACTGCAAGAATTGTGCACCCCTCGCCCTGTTAGGCCCACTGCAACAAGCAGGAGTGAACCCGTGAGGCCTTGCTCCTAATAAGCTCTGGCAAGTGGCCATCACCCACATTAACTCCTTTGGTAAACAAGTTTGTCCATGTGGTGGTAGATACTTGTTCAAAGGCTGTATTTGCAACAGCCCAATCTGGAGAAAAGGCTAATAATGTGATAAAGGCAGTTAAGTCAGCCATGCTGGTCCTTGGTGTCTCCTGGACCATAAAGACTGATAACGGGCCAGTGTATATATCACAGGAATTTAATTCCTTCCTGAAATCCTGGAACATACGGTCTGCCACAGGTATCCCATATAACCCACAGGGACAGGCAATCATTGAAAGAACTCATAGGATGATTAAAGATCTCTTACAAAGACAGAAAAACAATCATATGTCCCCAGACCCACAGCTTGCTTTGACTGAAGTCCGTTTCACTATCAATTTTCTTAGTTTTGATTCCCAAGGGGTCAGCCCAGCTTATATACACTGGGGATCCTTTCCATTCCAGACCCCAGCCTCTATGGTTAGGTGGGAAGACCCCCTGGCAGGAGAATGGAAGGGACCACACCCTCTGCTGACCAAGGGCTGAGGATATGCTTGTGTCTTTCCAGAGAATGCGGGACAGCCCATTTGGGTACCAGCCAGAAACATCAAGCTTGCAACTGACAGTCAACCAGAACCAGCTGAACAAGACTGAGAGTCTGCCTTGTTAGCAGACGCACCTGCCCTATCATCCTACCCTGAGGAACTGCCCATAGCCACATCCATTACTGTTTTATACCCCACTAGCTCTGGTCAGCCACTCGAATGGCCCACAGTCTGTGTGTGGTCATGCCATTCCTGATTACCACTGTTCCTCATTCCTACCCCATCTGAGCAAGCAATCCCGTGGTCTCCCATTTTGAGTGCTGGTTAGTCAACAACGGGTAAGATCCCCTGGGGGACAACCTAAGACAGGCACAGCTGCATACAGAGACCACATGGAAACGGGGTCAACAATGGTATGGCCAAGAATCATGCCTCCCGTTGCTCAAAAATAAACAAAAAGGGGGAAATGTGGTGGAATGAGAAGGCCATGCCAAGATGGCCACTGGCAACAGAAACTGCCTGGCAACAGGCTGTGATTGGATGGTTTCAGAAAGCACATGACAACAGAGCCTGACTGATAACAGGCTATGATTGGATGGCTTTGGAAACTGCCTGGCAACAGGGTGTGATTGGTTAGGGCATAGACCATCCCTTGGCTGGATTGGCTGCCTTGGCTATATAAGCTGCTGCACCAACTGAAATAAACGAGTCTGCAGCCTGCTCGCCTCAGGCCTGCTTTCACCCGACTCCCGGTGTCTGTGGTGACTCTGCGTCTCTTGCCCCCACCATGCTTCCCCTCCCAAAACGAATCCACAGCAACAGGAGAGGGAGAGAGAGGGAGAGGGAGAGGGGAAGAGAGGGAAAGGGGGAGAGGGAGAGGAAGGGGGGGAGAGGGATGGGGGAGAGAGCAAGAGAGGGAGAGAGCGAGAGAGGGAGAGAGGGAGAGGGGGAGGGGGAGAGGGGGGGAGGGGGAGAGGAGGAAAGAGGGAGAGAGAGAGAGGGAGGGGGAGAGGGAGGGGGGAGAGGGAGAGGGAGATGGGGAGAGAGAGAGAGGGAGAAAGGGAGAGGGGAGAGGAGGAAAGAGGGAGATGGGGAGAGAGAGAGAGGGAGAAAGGGAGAGGGGGAGAGGGGGAGAGAGATAGATCTCTCATCCTCTGATTCCCTCTCTAAATGCCGGAACTTGAACTGGGTCTCCCACATGGGTGGCAGGATCCACCCATGTGCCTCCAGGGGTGCACATGAGCAGGAAGCTGGATCAGAAGCAGAGGAGCCAAGACTAAAACCAGGCCCTCTGGTAAGGGATGCGGGCGTCCCAAGCGAGTGGCATCTTAACCAATACAAATGCCTGCCCCAACTCATCCCTTCTTCTCTCCAACCTTTACGGAGCGCCCTCGCTACATGGGGCCGTGTGTCAGGCACAGGGGACTCAGACATCAACAAGGCAGCTCCCGTCCTCTTGCTACAGGCAGTGGGAGTGGGATGAATCCCAGCGCAGTGGGGCGACCGCAGAGAGCGGCAGACTGGGAGGCAGCTGGAGAAACCCCCTGGCCTGGGGTGCAGGTTGCCCCAAGGAGATGAGTAGGTTCCTGCGTGCAGTCCAGCAGGAGAGACAAAGATAAAAAGCCAAAGCAAAGGCCTGTCATTGTGAAGGCCATGACGGGTTAAGTCACTGCCTGAGACACTGGCATCCCACATGAGTGCTGCTTTAAGTCCCTGCTGCTCCACTTCTGATCCAGCCCCCTGCTGATGGCCTGGGAAGCAGTGGAGGATGGCCCAAGTGCCTGGACCCCTGCACCCATGTGGGAGACCCGGATGGAGTCCAGGCTCCTGGTTTCAGTCTGGGTCAGCCCTGGTCATTGCAGCCATTTGGGGAGTGAATCAGCAGATGAGGATCTCTCTCACTCTCTTTCTCTGTCTCTCTGTAACTCTGCCTTTCATATAAATCTTTTTTAAAAGATTTATTTATTTATTTGAGAGGCAGAGTTACTGACAGACAGAGAGAGAGGAAGAGGGGAAGGTTTCCATCCACTGGTTCACTCCCCAAATATCTGCAATGGCCAGAGCTGGGCCAATCCAAAGGCAACAAGGAGTTTCTTCCGGGTCTCCCACAAGGGTGCAGGGGCCCAAACACTTGGGCCATCTTCTACTGCTTTCCCGGGCCATCAGCAGGGGGCTGGATCGGAAGTGAAGAAGTCAGGAATAGAACCAGCGCCCATATGGGATGCCAGCAACACAGGCAGAGGCTTAACCTATTACGTCACAGCACTGGCCCCCATATAAATAAATCTTCAAAAAAAGAAAAACAAAAAAACAAAATCAGAAGCAAAAGCCCCAGTTAGGACTCAAGGCATGAGGGGGCCACTGAGCATTCATGTGGGGGAGGGGGGGTGAGGGTCTTGGAAGCACTGCAGGTACAAGAACTCTTCATTTCCTGCCCCCAACCTGCCCCTCCCCCCCGCCTTAGCAATGACACCTCTGTCCTGTGTGCACCACTACCCAAGCCACTGGGGCCACATGTAGGTCCTGCTTTTGCCTACCCAACATTTGACCTGCTCCCAAGTCAACTCCAATTTACCTCCCTCAATTTAAAAAAAAAAATTTTATTTATCTATTTGAAAAGCAGAGTAACAGAGAGAAGGACACATGCGCACACACAGAGCTATCTTCCATTCACTGGTTCACTCCCCACATGGCCACAATGCACAGGGCTGGGCCAGGCTGAAGCCTGGAGCCTGGAATCCCATCTGGGTCTCCCAAGTGGATGCAGGGACCCAAACACTTGGGCCATCTTCTGCTGCTTTTCCCAGGGCATTAACAGGGAGCTGGATGGGAAGTGGAGCAGGCAGGACTCAAACTGGCACCCATGTGGCATGCCAGTGCCACAGGCAGAGACTACCCGATACACCATGATGCTGCCTACCCGACGTGGGTGTTTTAATTGGCATCGTAACCAACAGGTCAAATACCTCCCGTATCCATGAAATTTTGGAGGCCTCTGATGCCCGTGGATTTCCATTTTTTCTGCACTAAAATAGACACCTTCAGTTCCGTTTTCCATGAACCTTCTGAAGTACCCTTGTATGATTTAAACACATCTACTATGGATACTGCCAATGACACACATGACACGTGACACAGAGATTAACCCTGTCATCTGCTCCCACGGCACACCTGTGCAGGTGTCCAGTGACCCGCGTGAGTACAGCTGCCCCTGTCTGCCACTATGATGAGCCAGGGGGACCCCGCCAGGGCGTGAGCACTTTGAGGGCAGAAGCCAAGTCCTGCTGTCCGCTGTCTCCTCCACAGGGCTGTGCACGACACCAGCACATAGTAGGTGCTCAACAAGGGCATGTTTCACGCGTTCACCCATCTCTTACCCCCTACCGGACTGTGTCCTGTCTGAGAAGGGAAGGCGCCTGTCTCACTCGTCTTATTCGCAGACGCCCTCCAAGCACCACAAAGCAGGCCTGCACACAGTAGGTGCTCAAAAAATGCTGACTAACTGGGTGGCGGGCTGTCTTTTCCCCTTCCCAGCTTGCGAGCTGCTTCAGCCAAGGATACTGGCTTGCTCCTCTGTGCCTCCCGCGGTCCCTGGCTTGGCTCCCCCAAGGAGCATGACCTTCTCTCCGGGAGACCCACGAACTCACCTTTGCTCAGGTTCTGGAAAGAGCTGAGACAGGGAGATGCCACAGAGCGCAGCATAGGCGAAGCGGTTGGCCTCGGTCAGCTCCCGGCCCGTGGGCACGTGGGGCTCCCCCTGTGCGGCTGGCTCGGTGACCTGGGGCAGCCTCGGGCTTCGCCTGTCCCCTGTGGCCATCCCCAGCCCTGCAGGAAAAAAACCCAGTGAGAGATGCGTCCAGGGGAGGGCGCATGCTACTTACATGAGACATAAAAATCAGAAACCAGAAAAGATTGAAAATTAGGCTTCATTAAGACAAAAGAACTTCTCACCACCACCTTTAGGAAAGTGAAAACACACCTCAGACACCGGGGTGGGGAGAGATGTTTTCAATGCGTTTACCCACAAAGGGTTTGTGTTTGGTACTATTCACAGCCCCTCCGAGCCCCGAGTCTGTGATGCTCACAGCGCTGTCAATCACACACATCAGCCCTGCGCCCGTGGATTCCACATCCACAGGTTCTCCCAACCGCTGATCCAACACCTTGGAACAAACGCCGCATCTGTGCTGAACACGAGCTGCCTTTTTTCTTGTCATTATTCCCTAAGCAACACAGTGGAGTGACTGTCAAGGCATTCACATTGTATTGGGCTTTGTAAGTAATGTAGAGATGATACATAGTATCCAGGAAAGGGGCTAGCGCTGTGGCGCAGCCGGTTAAGTCCCTGCCTGCAACAGTGCATCCCTATCCTATATCAGAGCACTGGTTCAAGTCCTGGGTGTTGAGTTTCCCTTCCGGCTCCCTGCTAATGCACCTGGGAAAGCAGCGGAAGATGGCTCAAGTCCCTGGACTCCTGCCATCCATGTGGGAGACCCAAATGGAGTTCCTGGCTCCTGGCTTTGGCTGGCCCAGTCCTCACTGTTGCAGCTACTTGGAGAGTTATCCAGCAGATGGAGAGAGAGAGAGAGAGAGAGAGAGAGAGGTCTTCCATCCGCTGGTTCACTCCCCAGATGGCTGCAACGGCCGGAGCTGCACTGATCAGGAGCCAGGAGCTTCTTCCGGGTCTCCCACATGGGTGCAGGAGCTCAAGGACTTGGGCCATCTTCTACTGCTTTCCCAGATCGTAGCAGAGAGCTGGACAGGAAGCGGAGCAGCCAGGTCTTGAACCAGCGCCCATATGGGATGCTGGCGCTTCAGGCCAGGGCGTTAACCCACTGCGCTACAGTGCTGGCCCCAAAATCCTTAAGAAAAGTACACAGGAGTGTGCGCATATATTATATGCAAATACTATACCATTTTAGTTAAGGGACTTGAGCACCTACAGATTTCCATATCCATTGGGGGTGGCATCCTGAGACCAAGCCCCTGTGGATACCGATGGATGACCACAGTCCCAAAGGGGACACAACCCACACGTGCACCCACCACAGCGTGCAAAGCTGCGTCACAGTCACACCATGGACTATCACACAGCAGAGAAAGAGAATGACCTTGGCTAATCGCCACCACATGCATGCATCTCAGACAACAGGAAACACAGCAAGGGTGCCTCCTGCACTACCCTGCTTGAGTGGAGTTGAAGCGGTGATGGAAGGCAGGAGAGAGGTCACCTGTGGGAGCGAGGACCGACTCAGGAGGGACAGGGCAGGCTGGGCATGGGGCTGTCTCATCTTCACCCGGGCTGTGGCTACACCGGTGCACAGCACAGCTCTCAGAGCCGTCTGCTGGAGATGCGTGCGCTCTGTGACTGCTGCACCCCCAGCACAGAAGGAAGGAAGGGAGGAGGAAGGGAGGGAGGCAGGGGAGAGAAGTGGGGGGAGGGGTAGAGGGGAGGGGAGGGGAAGGGAGGGGTGGGGTACCAGCCTTGACTGCAGAGCAGTGCGGCTAGGAACACAGGCTCAGCACCAGGTGGTCCTGGGAGGGAGTCTGGGCACCTCCACTTAACAGATGGGGGACCCTGGGCAACTCAAGCTCTGTTCACTGAGCTTTCTCCCTGACCCCCCCCCCCCCCAGGAAGTGTGGTGTCAGCCAGCGGGCCATGAGCATCAGCATTTGTGAAGCGTTGGGACACAGCTGTGTAAATGCTTGTGAAGGAAATCAACGTATAAAAGCATCAACCAGCGCTTAGCAGGGGCCGCCTCTCCCACAGGTGCAATAAACAAGAACGAGAGCCAACAAGCCTCTCGGGGCGGGTCAGCCCTTCACGTCAGAGTCCCAGTCTGTTGAGGGAGGAATGGCTCAGCGGAGGATGTGGGCCCAGGTCCCACAGCGGGCAACCACAGGACTAAGACAGCCGGGGCCAGAGTGCCGGGCCACCACCTCTGTTCTACTTCTCCTCAGGTGGCCAGAGCTTTCTAGTCTAATAACCACGCGGCATGCTAGTCTAATAACCACAGTTGGCACCCATCCAGCTAAGGAATACACATTTTTGCCCTGGGGGTTAAGCCATTGCAGTGCAGTGGGTTAAGCCGTTCCCTGCGATGCCAGCTGCTCCACTTCTGATCCTGCTCTCTGCTAATGGCCTGGGAAAGTGGCAGAAGATGGCCCGGTGCTTGGGCCCCTGCACCCACATGGCCTGGCTCCAGCCATTGTGGCCATTTGAGGAGTGGGCCAGTTCATGGATGATCTCTCTCTCTCTCTCTCTCTCTCTCGATCATTCTGCCTTTCAAAGAAATAAAATAAATTAAAAAAAAATAAGTCTTTTGGGGCCGGCACTGTGGTGTAGCAGGTTAAGCCACTGCCTGCAGTGCCGGCATCCCATATGGGCACCGGTTTGAAACCCAGCTGCTCACTTCCAATCCAGCTCTCTGCTATGGCCTGGGAAAGCGCAGAAGATGACCCAAGTCCTTGTGGCCCCGCACCCACATGGGAGACCCAGAAAGAGCTCTGGCTTGGATCGGTGAAGCTCCAGCCATTGCGGCCAATTGGGGAGTGAACCAGCGGATGGAAGATCTTCTCTCTCTCTCTCTCTGCTCCTCTATCTCTGTGTATCTCTGACTTTCAAATATAAATAAATCTTTAAAAAATGTGTCTTTGTTCTGAAAATGTTCTTCTTTAGAGAGGGTATTGAAAGCCTGCTACAACCAATAAAGAGGGTGCTAAAAAAACAAAACAAAGCAAAAAAAAAAAACTTGTGGAAAGGCGGAAAAAGATAAGCTTATTTTGGCAAAAACAATTGAAATTCATGTATGTTTTAATATACGCATTTTCATGAAGATACTTCTCAGGCATGGATTTCAAAACAACTTCATTTTTGCCCCAATCATACTCATCTTTAGTTTCCCGAACCTTCTAAAATCCCCCTGTAACTCATTAACCTTGCAAACAACCCAGAGTTAGTTAAAAGCCACAGAGCAACGATTTCACAGCGCGTGACAGTTGGCAAAAATCTTTCTAGTCCTTCCCTTTGCTAAGTCCCAGGTGAGGGGTGAGCGGCTGAGGACAGCTCGGCCAGGCCAGCGGTCTCTAGAGAAGCAGTATGGGATGAGACCCAAGGCAGCCCGGACGCTCGCGCCGTGCTGTCCCTCGTGCCCATGCGTCCCCTGGCTATGCCATCGTGGGGCATCCTCCCCCGCACCTCCCGTGCAGAAACACAGGGCCCAAAGTCACCCTGCAAGAACGGCTGCTCAGGAACCCAAGGCTGTGGTTTGCAGGGGTTTCCCGCTCAGAGGCTCTGCCGGACTCTGGTGGTGGAAAAAGGGGAGAACTGAGAGCCAGGCCGGGTGGCACCTGACTGTGGACTTCCCCCTACACTGCATCACTCCACGCACTGTGCGTGGGAGCCCACGTCAGCTCTTAGCTCAAGAAAAAGCAGGCTTCTGATCTGTTTCTAGCCCCCAGGGGGGTGGGGGTGGGATGTGCACTTGGCTCCCAGAAAGCTAGCTCAGGCCCATGGTCACTCTCTCATTCCAAACAACTCACTCTTGGGGGCTGTCCCGCACCTGCTACACCGCAGCCGAGGGGCCTCTCAGGTCACATACCCCAGCATGTCACTTGCCCGTGTAACAGACCCCAACCCCGGATGACGGCCCACACTGTCCAGCCCGTGTCTGCCTACGCCCTGTCTCCTGCGTGCATGCACACTGCCACACTGCTGTCTTTCTGCTCTTAAATACACACCTGGTCTCCCCCGCCCCCAGCCAGCTTGGCACTGCCATTCCCCTGCCTGGAACATCCTTCCCTAACCTTCCACGAGGGTCACTCCAAGAGGACTCCCGACCACCAGGCGGAGTAACTCTGCCCACTATCTCAGCCCCCTGTTCTATTTTGAGAATACTTGTAGCTTGCCTGAGTATTCAGAACAACAATAGGTATCTTGAGGCACCCTCATGTTGTTCTTCTTTTAAACAACTTAAAAAATTAGGGTTTATTTATTATTTAAAAAGCAGAGTTAGAGAGAGAGAGAGAGAGAGGGATTCCATCCACTGGTTCACTACCCAAATGGCTGCATGGGCTGGGCCATGCTGAAGCCAGGAGCAGGCACTGCTTCCGGGTCTCCCATGCAGGTGCAGGGGCCCAGGTACTTGGACATTTCCACTGCTTCTCAGGCATATTAGCAGGGAGCTGGACCAGAAGTGGAGTAGCCAGGACCCAAAAGGCGCCCATATGGGACGCTGGCACTGCAGGAGGCAGCTTACTACAGCGCCGCAGAGCCGCCCCCCAGGCAGCTCATTGCTGTCTCCCTAGCTTGCTGTGCAGGCCTGGACTACCGCAGGCACGAACAGACGTTGCTGGTTGGATGGAGAAGAGCACAAGCCATGGGATGCCCTACAGCTCAGACCTTAAATCAGCTGATGTTTGGGCCTTGGGGGGGCGATCAGGGGACCAACTGACCATTCCTGCTCTGAAGGGGATGGCAAGGATGGTGCTGTGGTGCAGTGGGTTAAGCCACTGCCTGCAACAGCATCCAATTGGGCGCTGGCTCGAGTCCTGGTTGCGCCAACTTCCAATCCAGTTCCTGACATGCCTGAGAAAGCAGCGGAAGATGGCCCCTGCCCATGGTGAAGACCCGGATGAAGCTCTGGCTCCTGGCTCAGCCTGGCCCAGCTCCAGCCATTGCAGCCATTTTGGGGAGGAACCAGCAGATGGAAGATCAGTCTCTGTACTCCTTTCAAAACAAAAAAAAAACTTAAAAAAAAGAAAAGTGTGTGTGGGGGGGGGGATTAGCAATCCTACACAGCACAGACCTTGTTGGGGAAGGAGGTTGCCTACTGTGTATGCCA